TAAAAAAAAAAAAAAAAAAAAAAAAAGAAGTGTGTGTGAAGGGATATGTAAAGTGTGTCACTTCTTCCCGGCTGAGGCAGTAAAATGCTCCAGAAGTTCTCCAGGCTCTTTTTCCTGCCACAGCAACTGATAGCCCCAAGCTCCAATGTAGCCATCAGTGAAGCAGCCTGGATCCTGGAGTTACTGCTTGGAAGAGAGAGGCCCTGGAGAGCTGCTAGCCTCATAATGGACTTTGCACGAATGAGAAGTAGCTTTTTAAATGCTAAGCTGCTGAGACTTTGGGATTTGCTTGTTATCATAACACTTTGTTTTGACCTAATACAATATTAGAATGTACACAGGAAAATCAGTTCAATATTTTACTTTTGGGTAATGTAGAGCTCTAATTTCAAATAATTAATTTGGTTATCTGTCATGCATTGAAAGTTATTATAAATGACATTTGGCTCTTTTTAAAAAATCGAGTCAAACAGTAAAAGCATGCCTCCATACTGGAACCGTGTGAGCTAAGAAAGCCTTCTTCTAATGCTTCAATGAGCTGGGTGTGGTGGCCCATGCCCGTAGTCCCAGTTACTCAGGAGACTTAGATGGGAGGATGCCTTGAGCCTTGGCAACATAGCAAGATCCCATCTCTTTAAATACATACATAAATAAATAAAGCCTCCATTGGCAACTACTTAAAAAAGTGAGAGTAATTTGGCTGTCTAGGTTCTGGTGGTATGTTCAAAATCAGTCATACCACCGTATAGCTATAGATTTATATTCATACATATTTTTTAGATGTTGATGATTTAATCCAAGTAATTTAAGATATTCAAGCTAATCCAAGTAATTTAAGGTAGTCAAGTTCATAGTGTAGTCAACACCGTATCTGATAAATCCGTTAGAATAATTAATAATATTGCTATCATTTATTGACTGACTCCTAACACACATTATATCTCCTTTTATATACATTCTATCTAAACCTCAAAATACCTCCACTGTATTAGCTAGGGTTGTGTGGAGAAACAGAACCCACAGGATGTTGAAGGGTCTGAAATGCGCCACTGTGATATAAAAACTATTTTGAGCCAAAGTGATTTGAAAAGTCAACAGATGTATGCTCTGAATTTCCCCCATCTCCCTCAAAGCAGAGCTCCAAAAGAACTCAACTGTTATAAATCTCCTCCCTGAGAGGTTCAAAAACAGGGAAGATGGACTCCTCACTGGAGACAGAGGAAGTCAGCACCACAGCTAAACAGACATCGTCACACAGCCATTATCCCTCCCATCTATTCTCTAAGAATCCATTTATCTTCCCTAAAAGTCATTTGTTTTCTCTAAGCATCCTTTCTCTCCCCACTCTCCCCAAGAAATCATTTGTTTTCCCTAAGAGCCTTTCTCCTCCTCCTCTTCCTCTATTAAGATGGTATATTTTCCCCAAATTCTGTCTCGTAGTCACATTATTTTTGAACCCCCACCTATCTAAGTGAATTAAAAAACCTGTCTTTTTCTCTGCTAATCTATCTTTTGTCAGTTTAATTGTAGGTCTCCGGATGGTCACAGTGGCTAACCCCTGTAATCCCAGCACTTTGGGAGGCCGAGGTTGGTGGATCACCTGAGGTCAGGAGTTTAAGACCAGCCTGGGCAACATGGTGAAACCCTGTCTCAACTAAAAATACAAAAATCAGTTGGGTGTGGTGACGGGCACCTGTAATCCCAGCTACTTGGGAGGCCAAGGCAGAAGAATCCCTTGAACCCAGGAGGTGGAGGTTGCAGTGAGCCAAGATTGCGCCATTGCACTCCAGCCTGGGCAGCAGAGTAAGACTCTGTTTCAAAATAATAATAATAATAATTTGTAGGTCTCCAATAACTGAATGTAGGAAGGTGGAGAATGCGTTTCCTCCCTGACAATGTGTGAGTGTACACATATATATCTCTCTCTGAGAGGGAGAAAGAGCAAGAGAGAAAGAGAGAGAGAGAGAGAGAGGGAGGGAGGGAAGAAGGTAGGGGGTGAGAAAAAAAAAGGGAAAAGGAGAGAGAGAGAGAGATTTAATTTAGGGCTTTGTAAATCCAAAGTCTGCAGGGTCATTTAGCAGGCTGCAAACCAAGGGAAGGATTGCAATTTGAACCCAAAGGTGGTCTGCCGGCAGAATTCCCGTTTCCTCTGGGGAGGTCAGTATTTTCTTATTAAGGCTTTCAACTGATTGGATCAGGCCTATCCACATTATAGACAGTAACCTGCTTTACTCCAAGCCTACTGATTTAAATGTTAATCTCATCGAAAAATCTGCCCAGAAATATCTCAATGATATTTGACCAAATATCTCGGTACCGTGGCCTAACCAAGTTGACACATAAAATTAACCATCACAACCATGAACCCCCCCATTTTACATATGAGGATATTGAGACTCAAGGAAAGTAATTCAATTGCTTGAGGTAAAATGACCAGTATATAGCAGAGCTGGGACATGAATCTACGGCTGTGAATCTAAAGCTCTTGATTTTCTCGCTACACAGCACATTCACTCACTGCCAAGGGTCTTTTCACAGGCCAGCTTTTACTTCTTTTTTCTTCTACAGCATCTTTTTTCTAGAGATAGGGTCTTGCTCTGTCACCCATGATGGAGTACAGTGGCGTGATCATAGCTCACTGCAGCCTTGAGCTCCTGGGCTCAAGTGCTCCTCCCACCTTGGCCTCCCGAGTAGCTGGGACTACAGGCATGCACTACTACACCTGGCTAATGTTTTTATTTTCCATAGAGGCAGGGTCTCTATGTTGTTCAGGCTGGTCTTGAACTTCTGGGCTCAAGTGATCCTCCCACTTGGCCTCCCAAAGTGTTAGGATTACAGGCATCAGCCACTGTGCCTGGCCTTCTAAAATAGCTTGATCTTATTCTATCATAAACAATAAAACTTGGCTTCAATTTTAACTGTACTTAACAGTTGGCAACATCATATGTGCTCACTTAAATATTTTTTGAAGGACTGAGGATATCCTATGGGAGGCACTTGAATTTTCCAGAGCTATGACCATTAGTACTGATAGTTTTACGTTTTTATTTCAATTATTATTATTATTACTATTACTATTATTATTTTGAGATGAGGGCTTGCTCTGTTGTCCAGGCTGGGGTGCAGTAGTGTGATCTCGGCTCACTGCAACCTCCGCCTCCTGGGTTCAAGTGATTCTCCTGCCTCAGCTTCTCAATTATCTGGGATTACAGGTGCCCGCCATCACGCCCGGCTAGTTTTTTGTTTTTTTAGTAGACATAAGGTCACCATATGTTGGCCAGGCTGGTCTTGAACTCCTAACCTCAGGTGATCTGCCCACCTTGGCCTCCTAAAGTGCTGGTGTGACCCACCCTGCCTGGCTCAGAGGCATGAGTCACTGTGCCCAGACTATTTTAATTATTTTTTAATAGATAACATACTTAACAGTGTTAAGTACATTCACACTGTAGTGCAACCAATCTCCAGAACACTTCATCTTGTAAAACTGATAATTCATACTCATTAAACAACCTCCCATTTCTCCTACCCTCAACCCCAGGCAACCACCATTCTATTTTCTTTTTTTTTTTTTTTTTTTGAGACAGAGTCTCACTCTGTTGCCGAGGCTGGAATGCAGTGGCACAACCTCTGTCCTTTGGGTTCAAGCAATTCTCCTGCCTCAATCTCCGGAGTAGCTGGGATTATAGGCTCCTGCCATCGTGCCTGGTTAATTTTTGTAGTTTTAGTAGAGATGGGGTTTCACCATCTTGGCCAGGCTGGTTTTGAACTCCTGACCTCGTGATCCACCTGCCTTGGCCTCTCAAAGTGCTGGGATTACAGGCGTGAGCCACCACACCTGACCTTCTACTTTGTGTCTCTATGAATTTGACTACTCTAGGTACGTTATATGAGTGGAATCATGCAATATTTGTTCTGTTTTATGGCTGCATGTGATTTTAATACATTTATTTTCTTAACATAGTTCAAGATGCACAAGAAAATAGGATGATAGAGTGAAAATCCTTATTTGCATCCCCACCCCTGGCCCCTAATTTCCCTTCATCTGACATAACCAATCTTGTAAATTCCTTGAAATATTCTATGCAACCATTTGAATTATGTATAGTTCTCTTTTCTTTTTTTAATGAAAGCTATTTTGCACCTCGCTTTTCCACTTTAAAATACATCTTGGAGATTGTTCCATAAAAAGTACTCACAGTGTTTGAAAGTATTAGAAATATTTAACCACATAATATGCAAATAAAAATAGGAAAATCATAATACTTAATTCCAAGACTCTGCCACACATCGAAAGCATTCTCCCAATCCCGTTGAACAATACTGGTATCAGCAATCCTCTTTGTTGCAAGCTAATTTACCTGCATCCTAAACGTTGCTCTGGTTTCTTAGCCAAGAAGAGTCTGCAAATATCCTTTGCCTCCTCTGTGAAGTTATCGTGCTGGAATTTGACCTCGTCTTGTAGAGTTCTTTGCTTTACATCCTCTTTACTGACCTTTTCCTTGTAATCTTTGAATGGTGTTCGTCCAGCAACCATTTCATAAATGCTGCATCCCATGGCAAACCAGTCCACAGGATAGGAATAACTTACCTTTTCCACTAGGATCTCAGGAGCCATGTAACCATTGGTTCCAGCCTGTAGCATCCCAAACAAAACACAAGACAACACAGAACAGACACTAAGGTGAGTGTAGCAGACACTGCTGATTGCCTACCTAATACACATTCTGCTTTCCTTCCCTTGTTCAGGGAACCCTAATTTGTTTGGGGCGGCAAAGTGTCTAACCTGTTCTTTTTGCTGCTTTCCCAGCAGCTTTGAGTGCAGCCAGGGGAGGCCACATTACCCACTTTGGTCAATGCGATAGAGTAGGTGGCTAAGGGCGTCATGAAAAGGGAAGACCTAGCTGCTCTTGATGTGGGAAAATCAGTTACCTCTCTTAGGCTCATCACCTCATCTTTAAGATGAAAAGTTCAAGTGGATGTCTGTAAGATCCCCTAAGCTCTGCCTTTTTAAAAAAAAATTCACAGAAAATAGAAAATGAGATGCATATGGTTTTTTAAGGCTAAGCACTTTATTACTAATATTGAATGTTCATATATTATCTATGATGTTCCTTACTCTATGTGCTGTGGAATAACATTAACCTCACACAGCTCTGCCTGTCTCGGCACTGAATAGTTAACACTGCCATTTTAATTGAGGAAATTCCACACACACATGAAATTTCATTTAACATAAATGACTATGTATGATAGGCACACTTCTGACAATATACGCCAAATGCTCATTAGATTAAATGTATACATATTCACTTTATATATACACATGTGTATTTATATATAATACATATATTTATATACACTTGCATGTGTGATAAAATACACATAAAATTCACTATCTAAATCATTTTGCAGTATAAGTTCCGTAGTATTAAGTACATTCTGTTGTGCAACCAATCTCCAGCACTACTCATCTTGTAAAACTGATGATTTATACTCACTAAACAACTTCCCATTTCTCCTCCCCTCAAACCCAGGCAACCGACATTTTACTTTGTGTCTCTATGAACTTGACTACTCTAGGTACCTCATATAAGTGGAATCATGCAATATCTGTCTTTTTATGGCTGCATGTGATTTTAATACATTTATTTACTCAGCACATTATTTAATGACATCTACAACACATTTTGCAATTGTAAGGTATACATTTACTTTAGAATTATTTTTTTTTGAGATGGAGTCTCACTCTGTCACGCAGGCTGGAGTGCAGTCTCCCGATCTCGGCTCACTGCAACCTCTCCCTCCCAGGTTCAAGCTGTTCTTCTGCCTCAGACTCCCAAGTAGCTGGGATTACAGGCACCAGCCTGGATAATTTTTGTATTTTTAGTGGAGATGGGGTTTCACTATGTTGGCCAGGCTGGCTTCAAACTCCTGACCTCAAGTGATCCACCCACCTCGGCCTTCCAAAGTGCTGTGAGTATAGGTGTGAGCCACCATGCCTGCCGACTCCGACTTTTTGGAGAGCAATATGACAGAGAGCAATGGAAAACAAAAGGTCACAGACTGTTCCTGTTTTTCAACCAGATTATTTAACTTTGGATTAGGTACCTCAAAGAAGACTCAGAAGAAAGAAAAATGAATCTATATTGAGATATTCATAATTTCATTAATTCAGAATGGTCACAAACTGGAAATACCCAAAGGCCCATCAATAAGACAATAAACCAGAGTCTATTGTTAACACCAAGGAATGCCTGTCACCCACTGATTACAACCATGCATTTCAGTACTTCAGGGAAGGTTGGAGAAGTTGGGTGCGGTGGTATGTACCTGTAGTCCCAGCTACTCAGAAGGCTGAAGTGGGAGGATCCCTTCAGTCAAGGAGTTTGAGGCTGTAGTGCGATAGACTAGCCGCTGCACTCCAGCCTGGGTAACTTAGTGAGACCCTGTCTCTAGGAAGAAAACATTAGAAAGCGTTGAGCTGTGCATTAGGTGTTTTATTTCTAGTTGCTTAAGTCTTTTTTAATGTAATGCTTTAGAAATATGAAATTTCATGGATAATTTCTACATGGATCACAACAACAAAGAAACAAACGATCCAAGTACTAATGAAGAATGATGGGCTTGTACAAGAAAGTTCTGGAAGTGACTAGGGTCTAACGGGCTATGGATGAGTCAGCATGGGACTGCTGTTTTCAGAGAAGCTGGTATATAATTTGGGTGACCATATGTTCCGGTTTGCTGGGGACAGTCCCGGTTTCCATCTGTTGCCCTGACGTCTTGTCCAGTTTTGCATTTGTCCAGACAAAAAGGTCCTGTAGGCGCCTCTGAGGCCAAGGATACAGTCTTACTCATCTTTGTCTCCAAATCCAGGCACTCAGCACAGGGCCTCACCTGGTGCATGCCATGTTGTTAAATAAATAACAGCATAGATGGTGACTATATCTTTTCCATTCATTACACAGAAAACATTTGTTGAGTCATGCCCTGCAATGAATTTCCAGGATACCCAGACCTATAAGGCCTGGCCCTTGCCCTTGAGGATTTGGAAACTGGCAGAGACAGACAAGTCAGAAGGTTGATTCAATAGAGAGTGGAGCACATGCAGGAAGGCCCAAGGGGTCAGTGTGTGTATGTGAGTGTATGTGTATGTGAGTGTGTGTGTATGTGAGTGTGTATGTGCATGTGAGAGGGTATGTGTTTGTGTGTGTGTGTGTATGTGTGTGGGTGTATGAGTGTGTATGAGTGTGGTGAGTATGCATATGTGCGTGAGTGTGAGCCATGATCCAGCCACTGCACATCCAGCCTGGGTGACACACTGAAACTCTCTCTGTCACACACACACACACACACGTGCAAATAGTATGAGAAAATTTCCCAGTACAGACAGCCATTGATTGCTGGATTGAGGGGCCAGCTGATAGCTGGGATAGCCAGCACCATGGATGAAAACAGCCCCACACCAAAGTATGTCATTGAGAAAGGTCATCATGTTGGTGTACTGGACCACAAACCTCACGCACCTTCCTACATTCCCTCTACCACCTCCTTTTCTCTTCCTCTTGGACAGCTCTCTGTTGGCAGCACATCCAGGCTGGGCTGCCCTCCACTTTCAGAATTGGATGAAACACCATCCTGTGGGACATGGGGCCTTATTTCCTGGGCAGCTGCTAATCGGCTGGATGACATGTGGGCAATATAGCTCTTTGGATAATCCTTGACCAATGGAAACGAGAGATGGGAGGGACTGGGCAGCTGCATCCCCCTCGTCCTCTCCTGTGCTTCCTCCTTGTGCCTTTCCCAGAAAAGTCCCTTGTGCCTGATGAACCAGCACTCAGCTGGACATCACACCTGTCTTCCCTCACTCTCCTTTTCCCTTCTGCATTCTATTATAAAAACTTTCAAGCATACAGCAAAGTTGAAATTTCACACGAGCACCTTTGAAATACCCATTACCTAGAGTTTATCATTGACATTTTTACCAGATTTTTTGAGATATAATTTAAATACCATGAAATCCATTCATTTAGAGTGTCCTAGCTGGGCACAGTGGCTCACGCCTGTGATCCCAGCACTTTGGGAGGCCAAGGCGGGTGGATCACCTGAAGTCAGGAGTTTGAGACCAGGCTGGCCAACATGGCAAAACCCTGTCTCTACTAAAAACACACGCAAAAAATAGCTGGGTGTGGTAGTATGCGCCTGTAGTCCCACTATTCAGGAGGCGAAGCAGGAGAATCACTTGAACCCAGAAGGTGGAGGCTGCAGTGAGCCAAGATTGTGCCACTGCACTCCAGCCTGGGCAACAGACAAGACTCCATCTCAAAAAGAAAAAAGCATACTGGATTTTAGTATATTTACAGAGCTGTGAAAACATTACCACAATCAATTTCAAAACATTTTCTTCACCCCCAAAAGAAATCCCATATCCTTTAGCAGTCACTTTCATTCCTCTGCTCTTCCACCCCTAAGCAACCATTCATCTATTTTCCGTCTCTATGGAATTGCCTATGTTAGACACCTCATATAAATGGAATCATCCAATACATGGTCATTTGTGACTAGCTTCTTCCATTTAGCATGTTTTTAAGGTTCACCCATGTTGTAGCATGTATCAGTACTTCATTCCTTTCTTCCCCCCACCCCACCCCAAGCTGGAGTCTTGCTCTGTTGCCCAGGCTGGAGTGCAATGGTATAATCTTGGCTTACTGTGACCTCCACCTACTTCCAAGGTTCAAGCGATTCTTCTTTCTCAGTCTCGCAAATAGTTAGGATTACAGGCTCATGCCACCACGCCCGGCTATTTTTTGTATTTTTAGTAGAGACGGGGTTTCACCATGTTGGCCAAGCTGGTCTTGAACTCCTGACTTCATGATCCACCTGTCTCGGTCTCCCAAAGTACTAGGATTACAGGCGTGAGCCACTGCGCCCAGCTACTACTTCATTCCTTTCTATGGCCAAATAATATTTCCTATATATCATTAACATTTTACTAGATTTGCTTTATCAAATGTCTCTCGATTTATCCATCTTCTCTATCCATCCATTTAGTCAATCTTACATCTTTTATGTATTTCCAAGTAAACTCACTTCTCTTTTTTCCAAGGCTTTGTACCTCCTAGGCTCATGCAATCCTCCACTTCAGCCTCCTGAGTTGCTGGAACCACAGGAGCATGCCAACATGCCTGGCTAATTTTTTATTTTTTGGTACAGATGGGGTCTCTCTGTTTCTCAGGCTGGTCCTGGGATCCTCTTGCCTTAGCCTCTCAAAGTGCTGGGATCACAGGCAGGAGCCACCACAGCCGGCCTCTCCTGGTAGTTCGTTCGTCATTTTCTCCCTTCCATTTTGTCTCCTCTTTTTTTCAGAAATCCTGAACTTATCCTTTATGTTTCTTACCTTTTGCTCCTAATGTCCACCTCTGTGTCTTATTTCCTTTTGAGGGCCATGGGGGTAGATGTCCTCTATTTTTTTCTCCAATTCTTCTATTTAATTTAATTAATTAATTTATTTATTTATTTATTTATTTTGAGACGGAGTTTCGCTCTTGTTACCCAGGCTGGAGTGCAATGGCGCGATCTCGGCTCACCGCAACCTCCGCCTCCTGGGTTCAGGCAATTCTCCTGCCTCAGCCTCCT